TGGCCTCTGCTGCCCTCTGCTGGCCTCTATTGGCCTCTGCTGCCATCTGCTGCCCTCTGCTGCCCTGTGCTGCCCTCTGATGGCCTCTGCTGCCCTCTATTGGCCTCTGCTGCCCTCTGCTGGCCTCTATTGGCCTCTGCTGCCCTCTGCTGGCCTCTGCTCCCCTCTATTGGCCTCTGCTGGCCTCTGCTGGCCTCTGCTGGCCTCTGATGGCCTCTGCTGGCCTCTGCTGCCCTCTGATGGCCTCTGCTGGCCTCTGCTGGCCTCTGCTGCCCTCTGCTGGCCTCTGCTGGCCTCTGCTGCCCTCTGCTGGCCTCTGCTGCCCTCTGCTGGCCTCTGCTCCCCTCTATTGGCCTCTGCTGCCCTCTGCTGGCCTCTATTGGCCTCTGCTGCCCTGTGCTGCCCTCTGATGGCCTCTGCTGCCCTCTGCTGCCCTCTATTGGCCTCTGCTGCCCTCTGCTGCCCTCTGCTGCCCTCTATTGGCCTCTGCTGCCCTCTGCTGGCCTCTATTGGCCTCTGCTGCCATCTGCTGCCCTCTGCTGCCCTCTGCTGGCCTCTGCTGGCCTCTGCTGCCCTCTGCTGGCCTCTGCTGCCCTCTGCTGGCCTCTGCTGCCCTCTATTGGCCTCTGCTGCCCTCTGCTGGCCTCTATTGGCCTCTGCTGGCCTCTGCTGCCCTCTGCTGCCCTCTGATGGCCTCTGTTCGCCGTCCTTTCTCCATATGCTTAAGAAGGAAAAATCCTCAGAAGTGTATTGTTGCTGTTTTTCAGGGGTCTGTCTGACTCAGTGGGAGTCTGGGTTCAACACGCAAGCAGTCAACCACAACAGAGACCGATCCACCGACTACGGCATCTTCCAGATCAACAGCCGCTGGTGGTGCGATGACTCCCAGATCCACACTGCCAACGGATGCCGCATCAAGTGCAGCCGTAAGGAAGCAGCCCAAGCTTCTTATTAATGCGCTCATCGCTCAGCATGAAGGGAAAAACATTTAGGAACCTGGATGTTTAAAGTCTGGCTCAAAGAGTCTCCATCGAGCCGATCAGTGCAGTTCATGGATGTTTCAAGAATAAAATCATATTAAGATTGTTTCACACATTCATCACTTTTTTCTTCAGTCAGTTTAATTCCCATAAACACAGTTTCCCTTAAGCTAGTTGGAGTCGGTGCCGCCCAGCTAACATCAACCACGGTTAATTTAGTCTGTTTCCATCCAGAAAATAGACTCAGACCGTTTCTCAGTTCATCCAAAGTTTCCGATACAGTTTATGCTCAGTCTGTTCTGCAAATGTTAAAATGAGAAATAGCGGTAAAGGTAAAGTGGAGGATGTTGTTTTTCCGGGTGGATCATCTCAATCAGTGGTCCTCCTAACTGTCAATCATTCTGGTGCTATGTTTCCGTAAGGCCGTCCTTCGTGCTCGTCCCCATTTTCACTGATCGTTGGTGAGTCTGACATGGTGGAAAAATCTTCTTTTAGAAGGTGAGCTTGTATGAGCGATGCAGACAGGAACTTTTAAACAGAGCGAGGAGAAATGGGCTCATGCACGCTCTCGCACCCGTTTAATAGGCGTTCCCTCTCTGAGTGGAGAGGACAGGTCTTCAATCCTTCACTATACCTTTAAGTTTAAACTGCTTCAACTGGTCTAAATCAGTTTAAACTGGTCGAGTCCTTCTAGCATGGGGGGTAGAGGACAGTTGAAGCAAACTCTTCCTTTCTGTCTCTTTTAACGGCTCTCTGATTTAATGCCATCATGGCCCCAGCAGGCTGAACTATGGCATTCAAATGATGAACTGGACCCATTATGGCCCAGTTCATCCATGCTTCCAGTCCATTAGGACCCTGCTGGGCCATTCAACCTAATATTCAGTCATTTAGGTCCAGTTCAACCATTTCAAACAAATTGCGGTTCTGAAGGCAGAAGCTGAAAGAAATGAGCTCAGCTCAGTTATTAATGACAACTAGTCGATGTTTTACTTTGTGTGGAGGAAACAATCCCTTCTTTCCTTTCTGTCCCAGAGCTGCTGTCTGATGACGTCAGGACGGCGATCAGCTGCGCTAAGCGGGTTGTCATGGATCCCCAAGGCATCGCAGCCTGGTGAGAGCAACTGACCAACGGCCATATTGAGAAGCTCCAGTTTATGCAGACCATGTTTCTCTGCTTTCAGGGTGGGCTGGCGCCTTCACTGTCAGAACAACGTCAGCCATTACTTGGATGGATGTGGCCTGAATTCTTCTTTTCTCTGAACCAGGAAGGTCCATAACAACAAACAGTTCAACTGTTGATTAAAGTCAAAGTTCAGAAAATCTGTTTTAATCATTTCTTTAAAAAATGTCTTTCCTGTTATACTGCAAATTAAAATGTTGATTTTATTGAGTTAAGTTATTTTTGATTTTTATCTTTTAATGAACTAATCTCTGGATTTACTGCTTTGATGTTTTCCGTCTGTGGTCCTGAAGTTTTTACCTGCATGGTGGATGATATTTACACCGCATCAGATAGCGTTCCCCCTCTATCTATCTATCTATCTATCTATCTATCTATCTATCTATCTATCTATCTATCTATCTATCTATCTATCTATCTATCTATCTATCTATCTATCT